ATCTGCTTTTCTCTTGCTGCCTTTAAGATTCTCTCTTTATCTTTAACCTTTGGCATTTTAATTATAATGTGTCTTAGTGTGTTCCTTTTTGGGTCCAACTTGATTGGGACTCTTTGTGCTTCTTGGACTTGTATGTCTATTTCCTTCACCCAATTAGGGAAGTTTTCTTTCATCATTTTTTCAAATAAGTTTTTAATTTCTTGCTCTTCCTCTTCTCCTTCTGGCACCCTTATGATTTGGATGTTGGCACTTTCAGAGATCTCCCAGAGTCTTCCTAATTTCTCCTTGTTTTTTAAAATTATTTTTTCATCATCCTGTACTGGTTGACTATTTATTTCTTATGTTCCAAATCATTGATCTGAACCCTGCCTTCCTTCCCTTCCCTTTGGTTCTCTATGAATTTTTCTCTATTTCACTTAGTGTAGCCTTAATTTCTTCACTTTGCATTTGCCATACTCAGTGAGATCTCTAAGCAACTTTATCAGCAGTGTTTTGAAGTCTGCATCTGATAGGTTGGCTGCCTCCATTTTGCTTAGTTCTTTTTCTGGAGTTTTGATCTGTTCTTCCTTCATTTGGGACATATTTCTTTGTCTCCTCAATTTGGCAGCCTCTCTTGTGTTTCTGTGTATCGGGTGGAGCTGATTTGACTCCCTGTCTCAACACACCTGTAATGTCATAATGGGCAGAGCCTTAGATATTCATCACAGCAGGGCAATCAGCTTCACCACTTTGTGGCACCGTATGTGGTGGAGGGATCAGAAAGGAAGCAATACTACTTGCTTGTCACTCACCCCATTTCCAGTCATTTCACCCACTCCCCATATGTGACTAGAGCCCCCCTCTAGCTGCTGCCCTGGTGATGGTTCCCAGAGTGGGTGGGTTTATAGACATTCTAGGACAGTGCAGGCCCTTTAAATGGACTCTCCATATGGTTTGATTTTCTGGCAGTTCTGATTGTGTTTTGTTTTGAGATTAGTTGTGATCCTTCTTATGGCTGTGCAAGGACGCAAACCATGTCTGCCTAAAACTTCATCTTGGCTGACGCCCCCTAAAAACTTCTAAATTTGTGATGCACTTTCATGTCAGTGCATCAAGACCCCATCAACTTTTTTCAAATATATTACCTATTCTCATTCATCGCACTTTTAGGAGCACTCAAATTTCTTCAAAATTCAGAAAAAGAAAATTTTATTGATTTTTATAGTATCCTTATTTTATTTTCTCTTTTATTATTTTTATTATTTATTATTATTTTATTAATAGTTAATGTCTATCTTTAATATTTATTCTTATGTTTAATATTTACTATTCATTACACATTAATATTTATTATTTATTATTATTGTCATTACATTTACTATTTCTTATTATTGCCATTACATTTACTATTTATTCTGTAAAGAGAATGACCCCAAAGAAAATGACAGAGGTCATTTTATTCAATGCAAAGGCAAAATTTATGGTATTAGTTTGTATCACCCTGTAAGCATGGTGATATATTGTTTGAAACTAAAAGAACAAATGATCCGGCAACTCACATGCACTTATGTGGCAATGAAATGAAAGCTTTGACATACAAATAGTACCAGGTGATTCAGGATGGGAAAAATCACTATATCCAAAAGTCCTGTGTTTTTGCTCTTTTAATAGTTTCAGTCCTTAGATAAAAGCATATCAGGTCTATACAAGTGAAATAAAGGACTACTTTTGGGAGCTGGATTTTGAATGTATGGACAAGTAAAGACAAGGTTTTTTCCTTCCTCCATTGGATGCATAAATATAGAAAACTGCACTAATACAGTGTACTCAGTTATTCTCTTAAAGAACACCTTATTTTCACTTCCCACAACTTATTGTAAGAACCGTATCAGGAAAAATTAACCTTCCTAGTACCTTGTGAGAGGAATAAGCAGGCAAAGGGGAGAGGTGAGGGCTGGGGAATAGATTTGCTATCATATGAAAACCGGAGCTGGAGAATTGTTGTTGATAGAACTGGACCCCTTGTTGACAAAGAAAATGGATCAAAAGGGGTATGGTGTCTAACATCTTCAGTAATTGTATCTGCAGCAAACTTGACAATTGCTTTCAAGTCTGTTAATCTTAGAATCTTATCTGCTTATTATAACTTTGTCATATTCTAAATGTGTGTTTACAATATATAAGGACCAGGACCTTTTGAAACCCTGTCATCAAAGTAGCACCAGAGAGAGAGAGACAGAGAGAGAGAGAAAGCCACAACAGGGCTGGGCTGTGACAGAGTAGCCTCCTTATATACTTTAAAGGGAATTACCAGAATAGACAAATGTAAATATAGCAATACATTCCAAAGCCAATATAATTTTTTTAAAAAAATAGCCTTCATTATATTTTTTCTATTTTTTGTGTGTATTTTTCCATTACCATTTATCCCCCCTATACACTCTTCCTCCTCCAACCACCTCACAATTATGGTGTCCTTATGTTAAATTGAAGGATTACTTTTGAGACAGATCTGAATAGCCTAGGGACTCATTGTCTCCCTCGTTGGGTAGCTTTCAAAGAACAGGCTCAGTATAACCTGTAGTGACTTAATAGAAAAAGCAGGCAGCAACCACTGAGCTTCAGTGGACTCCCCTTTCAACCAAGGCTGCTTTCTCAACCCCAAAGCTTATCCTTTTAAAGAACTGACCTCCCAGAACACTGTTCATTAAGATAAGTAGGCTCTCCTATCTACCAGCCTATGTATTTTTTCTCAATAAAACCTATGCATATCATTGAGGCAGAATGTGTCAGTGACCCTTTGGCACAACCTAAGTCCTCCTCATACATTGTTCCTGCAACTCCCAGCTCTTCCTGGTTCTCACACCCACTCCTCAACTTCATGCATCTGGGGCCCTTTGCCTTAAGCCTTCTAATCAAAGACCATGATTGTGGTGCTATTTATAGAACTGTTTATGTTTCTCATAATGCTTTCTAGTTATATTACATTAATTTCTTTCTATTTATAACTAACCTATGATAAAATAGAAGCTTTCAGATCTGTATATTTTTCTTTTGATTTTTAACTGAATATTTTCATTTTTACTGGTAATTAAGGTGTACCTTGATGAAAGAATAAAGTATTTGTATTCTTAAATGGAACCATTTATCCAGGAAAGTCCTCAGATCCTGGAATTTATAATGATGTCATTCAAACCATAGGTCTTTAATGTGACCTTTAATGCCTCCTTCTAAGACATGCATACATGCTGAGGAGGTAGCAGATAGCAAAAAAAAAGGACCAGTTTTCCTGATCTCTTAACTGCTAAGGGTCAGGTTATTTCATTTTGGGGAGTCTGAAGCTCAGGATTATTACCCAAGATATACTTTCTCCTTTGCAATAAGGTTTGAGGCCTTTTAATACTTTTACAGCTTCTCACAAGGCATCCTGGAAGTTATTGCCCCTTAACCACTCCAAATCGTATCTTCCCACTACCAAGACTAAAAAAATTAAAATTTCATGCTGCTCTCTAGCTCTTTCTCTGACTTAACACCCCAGCACTTATTTCCATTCTTCTTTTACCTTCAAAGTTTCTATTATCTCCATATTCTTTACGGTGGAATTAAAAATGTGAAGCCCCTGGACCTTGCCGTTCAATAAAGGAGATTGCCCCTGTGTAAGCTCAGCAAGAAATTCAAGGTCCAGGATCCACTTTAATGTGGCTCACTAAGCAGCAAAATGATTTCCTTAATTTGTGGATAGATTCTTCTGGTGTTCAAATCACTGTAGGTATGAAAGGCTGAAAATCCATGGTGCTGTGCTCCTCCAACCTGAACCTCAGCTGTGCCTCTATGAATTGACAGGAGGCCATAGGGAAGCGCATTCATGCTCCTGCAACCTTATCTCATGTAAATTCTGTATGTGATTTATTCACTGCTTGGAGAGAAGATCAAAGTAAAGGCAATTTTGAACAGTGACCATGTCATTTTGCCCATGCCTAAACTCAGATCAGATTCCGTATCTGATCTAGGTGAGTCCTATGCCGGCTCAGACCTCACTCTGATATCTATATCCTCATGTATATTTTTCATTCAGTCCTCTTCCCACCTCATTTTTCAGCTACTTCTACGCTCCTTGGTACATTGTATAATCCTAACTCTGGATGAAGTACTTTTCTGGTAAACACTAATTCTACCCTTTTCCCCTCATTTTTATTAATAACTGACACTTGGCCCAGCATGTGCCCGGCTGTTGTTTCCCATGGATTTCTTACAGCTCCGACTCCTTCCAACTTCATGCAAAAAGTTGAGGAGACCAGCTTCCCAAAGCCACTGTTCATTACTCTTTTTCCACTGTCCTTCACTTAAAGTTCATATCATTTCTACTGGCTTAAAAAGAGAAAGACATAAAAGTGTTTTTGAATGCAACTGATTGGAATATAAATGAACAGTAAATTTGTTACAAATAATAATAAAATCATTAATTACCATAAAATGTGAAAATAAGGACTTTATTTTTGCAGCAAAATTTTATTACCTGCAAAATATTGTGGAATCACCTGGGAGTATACTGTAAGGCTTTTAAACCATGTGAAGTTTATATATTAATTAGCACAGTTATTCTTTATAATCATCTTCACTCAAAATTATCTAAAGATTATATACCATTTAGAATAAATATACAAATAAGTATAATGTTCTCTTCAATTTTCCTAACAATCTACAATGGTTTAATGCTTTAAAGAAAAGGGAAAAATCTTCTTTAGAAAATTTACTCCAGAAGACAAATCATAATTCACTTAAAACAAATTTTAGCACATATTTATTATTGTTAGTAATAAAAGCATACATTGAGCCATATTTTTTAAATTAAAACTCTACCAAAATTGAAGATTTCTAATTATACTCTCAGTCCCTAGTTGATCTCCATAGCTAAATTTTGGCTAAAATGTTTGAAACACTCAGTAAAAAGAGGACTGTGTAAAATCATTTGTATATTATCAAAAATAACTGTGGAATATGCATTACAATTTAAAATAAAATTACTTAATATATGGATTATAAATTCTTCTAATTTTCATTGAAACAGATTTAATCTTGACAGGTAAACTGTTTTTGGTCCATGTGCCCCACTGAATTCCAGCTGCAAGCAATTTTCCAGGGAAGTGATGGATGCCATTTAGATTTGCTAGACCACATTGGCTGAACCACCAGCCAGTGTTGTTATTGAGGTGACTGCAGCTCTTCACAGCCTGACCGTTATCCACACATGAGGGATGACATCCGTCATTATCAACATCTGCTGTGCTGAAAGGCATTGCATTTTGATTATCTTCTTTTCTGTAGCCCCGGAATGCATCACCTGGGTGAATTAGATTTTGTAAATGACTAAATTTAAAGAATTTTTTTGTAATTTTACCAGCCTATTATGCAAAAGCACTGCATCTAGAAATAAGATTTAAATTATTTTCTACGAGCTGTCATATCATAAACTCTCCTCCAGGTTGTTGCCCAAATATACCAAATATATTTTGGTATATTTGCCCAATATACCAAAATCTGGTGCCCAATTTCTCAACATATTAGGGATATTTAAGTGGACATTTGATATAAAATCACAGTCCAGAATGGAAGTTTGGCTGTGTAGATGTGATCAGATAATGCAGGTCAAAGATGATCATGTACAGACCTGCCAGTCTTCAGTGAAGAGTAATGTGATGACTGTTAATTTAGGAAAAGAAAGTAACATACATAATAGGTTTTCATATCACTACTATTTACAGCCTTTTAGACAGAGAGGTGTGAATGAGTGTGAAACATCTGCATAGTAAAATCTTACATTTGTAACTGTAAAAATTGTTTGGTTTTATTTACTGGCTAGCAAGTTTACATGAAATGCTCTATACCCTCATGAAAAAATTTGGTACACTCTTGAAGTGTGCCTTTTCTTCACGGCTCCCCACATAACATTTTAACTAAGTGGATAATAATTAAAAGAATGCATTTTTAAAAAGTTAATCTTCGTTGAATTTTTTCCCATTACCACACACCCACCTCTCCCCAGCAGTCAGCACATTGTTGTCCATGTCCATGAGTCCTTTCTCTTTTTTGCTCAATCCCTGCACCCCCAGCCCTTGCCCCACAAGCTGTCATCTGCTTTCCATCTATGAGTCTCTCTGTCTTGCATGTTAGTTCAGTTTGTTCATTAGATTCCACATATGAGTTCAATGATATAGTATTTGTCTTTCTCTGACTAGCCTATTCCAGTTAGCACAATGTTGTCCAGGTCCATCCATATTGTCATAAAATTTTTTTTTTTTACAGCTGAGTAGAATTCCATTGCATAAATATCCCATAGTTGTTTTATCCACTCATCTACTGATGAACGCTTGGACTACTTCTATATCTTGCCAGTTGTAAATAATGCTGCAATGAACATACAGCATTGTATGCTTGGTTCATTGTATGCTATATGAACATACAGCATTGGTGCTTATGTTCTTTCAAATTAGTGTTTTGGATACCTTCAGATATATTACCAAAAGTGGGATTACTGGGTCAAAAGGCAGATCCATTTTTAATTTTGTGAGGTATCTCTGTACTGTTTTCCATAATGGCTGCACCAATCTGCATTCCCACCAACAGCACAAAAGGGTTTCCCTTTCTCCACATCCTTCTTGTTTGCTGATTTATTGATGATAGCCATTCTGACAGGTATGAGATGGTATCTCACCATGGTTTTCATTTGCATTTCTCTGATTATTAGTAACATTTAGCATCTTTTCATATGTCTATTGGCCATCTTTGTGTCCCCTTTGGAGAAATGTTTATTCAGGTCCTTTGCCCATTTTTTAATTGGGTTGTTTGTTTCTTTGGTGTGCAGTTTTGTAAGTACTTTATAAATTTTGGATATTAATCCCTTATCAGATGAATCAGCAAATATGTTCTCCCATTCTGTTGGTCACCTATTAATCTTGTTGATAATTTCCTTTGCTTTGCAAAATCTTTTATTTTCTTATCCATTCCACTACCCTATATCTTTTGGTAAGAGCATTTAAGCCATTTACTTTTAAAGGGATTATCAGTAGATACATAGGTAATGCCACTTTATTGTTAGACTGTTTTCCTTTGTGTTTTTCCTTTATCTTTTTCTTTTCTTCCTCTTTTTCTCCTCCTCCTCCTTCTTCTTAAAGCAAGCCCTTTAACATTTGTTGCAGTGCTGGTTTGGTCTTAACAAACTTCTTTAGCTTTTTTTTTTTATCTGTGAAGCTGCTTATTTCACTTTTGATTTGAAATGATAGCCTTGGTGGATCAAGTAGCCTTGGTTGTAGGTCCTTATTGTTCATCACCTTGAATATTTCACGCTGTTCCCTTCTGGCCTCAAATGTTTCTGTTGAATAATCAGATGTCACTTAACTGTTGCTCCCTTGTAGGTAACTACCTGCATTTCTCTTGCTGCTTTAGGATTCCCTCCTTGTATTTAAGTCTTGTCATTTGTGTCTGGTGTAGGTCTCTTTGGGTCCAGCATATTTAGGGCTCCCTGAGCTTCCTGGACTTGTGTGACTTTTTCCTTCACCAAATTAGGGAAGTTTCCAGTCATTATTTCTTCAAATCAGTTCTCAATCTCTTACTCACTCTTTTCTCCTTCCGATATTCCCAGGATGCAGATGTAATGCTTCATGTGGTCCAAAATGCTTCTTGAGCTCTCCTCATTTTTTAAAATTCTGTTTTCTTTTTGCTGCTCTGCCTCAGTGTTTTTTTCTACCTGGTCTTCCAAAACACTGATTTGATCCTTTGCTTCATCTAACCTACTGTTTATTCCTTCCAGTGTATTATTTATCCCATATATATCATTCTTTATTTCTGACTAATCCTTTTTTATGGTTTTTATGTCTTTTTCATGCAGCTGAGTATCCTTATAATTATTACCCTAACCACTCTCTCTGATAAGATGCTTGCCTCCATTTGGGGTAGTTCTGATGGACAATTTTCTTGTTCTTTCATTTGGGGTCTGTTTCTTTGTCTTCCTATTTTGGCTCCTTTGTATTTTCTGCCATAGGTTTTAAACTAAATGGGATATAGCCTTAAGCTGTAATCAGCAGCCCAGCTTATGCTCTACAGTGTAGGGCAGAGTAAATCCCGTGGTCGGGGCTGTTGCTTCCCTGCAGACTGACGCCACTTGGAAAGAGTGCTCTGCCTGAGAAAGATGGCCTCTGCAGTGGGGAATGACTCAGCCCAGGGCTCCTGGTAGCTGGTCCTTCAGTTCTCTCCCCAGAGCTACCAACCTCAGACTCTCCTCAAGCATCTCCAGTCCACGCTGCTGTCCCTTTTCCAAAGCCCAGGGTAAGTAGCTGCAAGTGAAATTTTGTGTGTTAGTTCTTTAAGAGGTTCTCTGAGTCTCCAGCTGTTTCTCCCTGGCAGACAGAAACCCTGCTGTTTTTCATAGCTGAATGTTATCTGGGTTCCTTTCTGGCACTGGTGCTGTAGGCTGGGTTGCTCTGCTTAAGTTTTAGACCCCACATGTCTCAGGGGAAATCCCCCAGCCACCGAAATATCCCTCTGGAACTTCAGCTGTCACCCGTGAGAGAACAGCCAGCCCTCTCACATCTCTACACTCCCAACCAGTCATGTTGTGGTGATGTGTCTTCACCATCCATCCATGGTTATAGAGCTTCTCTCCAGCTAGTGTTCAGTTGGTTATTTAGGACAATTTCTCTACAGTTAGTTGTAATTCCAGACTGTTCCTGGGAGGAGGTTAGTGTAGCTTCTACTAACTCCTCCATAGTGTTGGATCCTCAAGAATATAATTTTGAAAGGGCTTACATTGGACATTGTATATATAATATCCCTGATATTCCTAAAGTTCTCAAAAACTAAGTATCTTGGCCAAGGCAAACCAGTTAACTAAGTAGCAGGGGTAGAAGTCATGTTTTATTTTATAAAAAATTATATAAGTAAATGACTCTAACCAGTCCCATTATACCTAGATTTCAACTGTAGGTAAACTTTGCTAAAAACTTTGAACTAAAAGTGAAGCTATGTAAAATCTTTGAAGAATTCAAAGCCCACATTTGTTTCATTATGCTTTGTTTGGCATCTCTTAAGATATATCTTTGAAGAGTTGGAGAACTTCATTAGCACTGGTGGTCTATCCTATACCTGTACCAAGAGCTTCTGTCTCTTCATGGGGGAAAGAAAAGTGCCCACACTGCAAGTATTTGCAGAAAGACTATATTTTCATCACCCACATAGTACAAAACCTTTCAGAAGTTCAGATGAGAGAGAAAACACTTATAGAACATTGCCTAAATTAAATGATCTCTCCACAGATACTTTCCCTAGACTAAGTCTAACAAACCAACAGACAAATCATATGACATCTGTCCAGAGGGTACCCAGCCATGTAATATGAAAAACAGAGTTTATTGAAAAAGATACAAGAGACAAGAAACATCATACATAGGACAATGATGCCTCAGTCCCCTTCTACGTAGGCATCCTTAGGATCTCACACAGTCCTCCCAATCACCATCAGCTACCTCATCATATTTTCCTGAATCTCATCAATGATCTGAAATCTCTTCTCTTTCAAAGGTGATTTTAGTTTTGGGAAAAGAGAGAAGTTGCAGAGTGTCAAACATGGACTTTAAGAGGGCTGAGTCACATGCATGATTTGATATTTTGCCCAAACATTCTGCATAAAATGTGATGCATGAGCAGGCTCATTGTCATGATGAGACTGCCAATCACCACTTGCCCATAGCTGCAGCCTTCTGAGTCATCTGAATAGTTTACATGGAGAAATGTTCAAGCTTCATGCAAAATTTGATTCATTGTTCTAATTGCTCAGTCATTTTGGATGCCATGGCCATGCAATACACATGCTCACACAATGGCATCTACCACCCCCACTACTAGTACAGTGAAGTCATTATTATGCATGCATGCTCCTTCCAGTCCACTCTCCTTGGCTGCCAGGTTACATCAACGCTATGCAAACTGTTTTTGTTATACTAACAATGGCTGGAGTTTTTCCAGACAGACCTCATACATCAAATCAGCCCCTTTCTGGGTTATATAAGAAATTATTTCAAAAATATAATGCACGTGTCTATTTATAAGAAAGAACCCATTAAAATTCACCACCATATTTTCTGTGAGAGTGTAGTTAAAGAAAGTGGAACAATATGGCCCTCTGTTTTCTCTGAGAACCCAGGGAAATTTCTCATGAGTTTTAGAATAAAAGATGTATGTACTTTTTTGGAACATCTGTTCAAATTTTCAACTTCCATATTTATATTTTTCCTCTGAACTCAAAGTCAAGTTTGTAGCCCACCTCTGCCATGTTCATGATCACATTTAAGTCTTTTGTTTTATCTATGTTCCTATCTTTACATTCTATTGACAAATTTTTTATGTTGATTATATTTTGTAATCAACAATTAAAAGTTACTTAACAACCTTATTGGAAAACTATAGAGTATGCCAAAATTTAAGATTTATGTAATAAAAAAACTTTTTTGACATTATAAATTTTATTCTCTACTTAAATCTTAATCATTCTTTAGAGAAATCCCACATAAACTTTTCCTAATATAGTATGTTTCATATTCAGATAGTTTGTTACACCTTTAGAGATGAAGCATTAAAAATTATATATTGTATCAAAATTTGAAAGATTTCAGTTTCACCTAATATCCCAAGGCTAAACCCCCTCACAGTTCTCATAAATTTCAACCATACCAGACAACCCTTCATATCCAATAATTTTTCTCCCTCAGTACTTTGACTCAAGCCATTGTCTTCTTTAGCATTCATTTGCCAGAAGCCTTTCCATTCCTCCAAGTACAGAATAGTAGTTGTCAACTATAAAGATGCCAAAATATCTATTTGTGAATACCAATACCTAGGTCCATGTTTACAATTCAGATTATGCAGAACTCTCAAAAGCTTCCCAGGTTGAATCTAATATTAACCCCTTGTTCCAACTACCTTTCCATGATGATTTTCTGTATGCAATCAATTGGAATCATTTTCTCTCTTTTTATTTTTTCGTGAGCAAAATTATTTATTTTCACCTGCTGATTTCTGTGACAACTGAATTGATACACATATTGATTTATCTGTTTTTCTTACCCAGATGTCTATAAAAATCAAATCATCTTTAAATTGGATTTAGATCTATCTGGAGATTACTATACTGAAAATAAATAAATAGGATTTTCCCTTTCAATACATGTATGTTATGTGATGTTTTCTTTAAATAGCCAAATACAGGAACAATGAACCTGAAAATCAGACAGCATTTTGAAAAACACATTATTTCAAGCAAGTATTTCAATTCAGCATACAGGATAGTTAATACATGCAATTGATTTCTACTTTATTCCAACAAAATTAATTTTCAGTACTATATTTTACATAATATTTTTAGTAGAGCAGAGTGTTAATTTAGAGAGTTGCTTTAGCATGTTCTATTCAACTTGTTTTCTCTTTCAGTGGATATTAAAACAAAATAGTAATTTTTTCCTTCCTTTTCCCTTGCCATAGCTTTATCAAGTATTCTATTTTCAGTTTTATTTACCTACTCCTCTATATTGTGGTCGCTTAAAAACTTAGAAATATATATCATTTATTTTTTTATTTCAAACACTAAAAATGCATAATAAACAAGTACCATGATGAGCAATGAGTGAATTGGATTCAGTAGTTCTTATCTCAAATTTGAAATTTTAGCATCAAAATATAAATTCAACATCAAATATTTTGAAGTTCTAACAAATTAAGTTTATATGGAAATAAGTAGGTGCACCGATGTACAGTTAAAAAACTCTTAACTAGTTATCCTATCACCTGTGTTATTGCCCTGGCTTAGATGTGAGGAGCTGGGAATCTTAATTTTTTAGGTTTCTTCACCTATAAAGTGAGAAGAGTGATGATCAGCTCAACATTTGATGACTTCTAAATGCCAGGCTCTCTGAACATGAAAATGTAAATAATATATTCCAAGCCAAACCCACAGGCTCTTTATCTAGAGAACCAACTGAGATTGCATGTGGCAAATCATGATGTGCCGCAACAACCATAACACAGTTTCAGAGCTCAAGACTGGCCAGTTTTCTCATTCCTCCTCTTTTCTGTTCTCAGTTATGTGTCATATACCAAGAGAAATGCATTACTTTTATCTTCACCTAGTATTGTGTTAGTTATATTTAAAACTTCTGCGTAATTTTAGGAATAAAAAAACTTACCAGCATTTCCTGAATACTGTCCTAAGTGAATCTTAAAAAATCTTGTTTCATCCTCTAGCCAAAAATTATCATATGATGCATAAGCCAATGTGTCATCTTCAGATTCTAATGCCACATACAGCATAAAACTGGTATTTTTCTGATTTACTATATAAAAAATCTTTTTTAGTCCTAGCCAAAAGTCACCTGTAAAAAGAAAAACAACTTTTTAAAATATATTTTAATACAAATCAGAATAACCCTTTATTATTAAGTTTTTGGTGTTTAATATCTCTGTAACTCTTAAATGGCTCACATAAATCATTGAAAGGACTGATGGTCCTCACTCAAATTATCAGTGTTTGCCTAATTTGCAAAAAAAAAAATCTTCCTACTTCTACTTCTCTATATTGAAGATAACTGGACTCTGTTTCATTTTTATTTCTCCAAATTAAATTCAAAAATTTATTTAAAGATCAATTAAGTAAAAAGTCAAGTTTTGCCTTAAAACATGTCAATAAAAAGCCAGTTGAAATATTATGGCAGATAATAAAATGATGACTACCAGTAAGTATAACAGGTTTAACCTACAAATCAACACACATTATAATACATTTCCTGAAAATGCTCAGTTGAAATTATTTTTTCTGATTTGAGGATAATGCTTTGGGAACAAATACTTCTTTTTTATAATGCAGCTTGTACCTATGAATGAAAATTTAATGTAACAATGGAGCATCTCCAGGTTTAGGGTCAATATTTCTAAGACAATTGTGGATCTAGGATGAATTACTAAGCCCCCTAATTCAGAGCTCATCCCTTTTGTTAAGTTCTAGCCAATGGCTTTCTAGTTCCTCCACCCACCATGGCATAACCTAAATGTGTACACTCCTGCTCTAAAATATATTTCTCTACTTGAATCATGAAATAAGGAAGTAAGGGTCAGGTCAACATAAACCTGAAAGAGTTGGGAGGACAGTGTTACAACATTCAAACCCTTAAAACTATAGCTAAGATACTAACTCCCTCTCCAGGGCTTACAGGGGTGTTTTAGCTATACACCCACTTAGAACTGAAAATTATCCTGAAGAAGTACAGGAAGAGGTGGTACAGGAAGTAATACAGAAGTACAGGAAGTAACATGGACCCCTAAGGGTCTGTGAACTATCTCAAACTGTCCATTTTCAATGTCCCTGCCATATTTCTCCTTTCCCACAACCCCAAATTTAAGACTTAACAATATATTTAATTTAATTTAAAGTTTTTAAAAACATATATAGAAGGTACAAAGCAGTCTGTTTGTGTTTGGGATACCTGCTTGGAGACCTTCTTGTCCAAACTCATATAATTTCCCCATAGAAATAAGCATAATGTAACAAAAATGACAATTCAAAGCCTGAATTCAAGAAGAAGCACTCACTGGAAACTTGGAGGTTAATGCTGAGGAAACACAGCTATGTGGCCTTATGCATAATGTTTTATTACATTTCATGTTCCTTTTAAAATCATTGGCATTCAGTGCTAAATGCTTGGATGACATTATTATGGGATGCTAAAGATTTAAATTATAACAATAGTAATTTAAAATAGCATAAAAATTATCAAAATCACCTGCAAACATTCCAACTATTGTAAACTCTACAGTGTTGAGAGATACTGATATTTTTATATACCAGCAAAAATTATGCTGTTCTGTAGCAATAAGGTAACAAATTTTACAATCAACCTGAGGTTTACATTTTTCAAATTTTGAACATAGTTATCTTAGTTGATATTTTTATAAAACATTACTCCCAGTTCACATTATTTGAATTTGTACAGCCACATACCTAAGTTCTTCATCACTTACTTGTGTAGACACAACACATACCTGAAAAATTTCAAGGTTTATGACAACCATGCCCATTCAATTTTTTATTCTACAAATAGTTGTTGATCACCTGTCAGAACTCTGCTGTGTGCATAGCAGATACTTTTAGTAAACACCCAATCTAGAATTTCACTCAAGAATTTCTAATGGGTATCTAAAATTAAAGATTTCCAAATTCTAGCTGAAGATCTACTCATTTTAAATCATCTGACATATTAAGAGAGTGATTTAGTCATATATTAATATTCACAAGGATTTGCTATTTTTACTAACAATTTGACAAAGAGACAATCTGTAAGTGTAACACCAAAAAGAAGGAAAAATAAGATAGAGGAGAAAAAAATATAATTTGACCTAAAATGTCACCAAATCCATCCAGATAATCACACCACAACCTTTGAAAATCAATTATCCCATCAATCCTTTTCTGTATCACAGTCCATCCACCTCCTCTGTAATCCATGTCACACATTACCTAAAATAGACCCAGAAAGACAAAAATAACATACTATGACTTTGATTCTGTGATATAAAACTCATGCTTCACCCTTAAGCCTAGAGAAAAAGAAGGTACTTTCACTGACACTATCAGTGCAATTGTATAATAATATATTCAGAATTTTTTAATTTCTAGAAATAATTTTATTTATCATAAAAAAACTTGTAGTTAACTGAAATATAGTCCCTATGTCAGTCATTTTTAAATATATAGGTGTTTGTAGCATTTTAAGGTTATTCTCTTATTCCTTAACACTATACAGTTTTCAACTGAGTAATAACAGTACTAATAAGATGTGGCAGGGTAATGTATTTCTTTCCAAATTGAAAATGGTGATTCATTTTTTTAAGTGTTAAATATTCCCATGTGCTTGTCTTTGATTGTTCTTTCCTCAAAAGGCCTGGAAGGACTGTGTTTAGACTGGAATTTTCAGACAGAAAGGCATGATCTGTGTCCCATCTCAGCAGGCACTCCTGGGTCTATCTGGGTGCTGTATAAAACACCCCTAAGAGGACCACGATGGGAACCCATAGAAGTGACAGGAAATCAGAGTAATCCTCTCCATGAGAAACATCCCACTGCAAACAGAAAGACAATGTGGAGGAAGTTAGGGAACAGTGCTTTCCCACATGAGATAATTATGCATCCCACTCTTCAAAACTTAGAAGACTTCCCTTTATACATCTGTTTGGGCCCACATTTGAATCTGCAGGTGAAGTGATGTAAGTAATTTAAAAATTATTCCCAACCTAATTGCTAATTTTGTGACATCTTGCCAATAGATGTCAAAAAATAACGTTAGTAACTCTGAGAAACTGGTAGTTAGAAAAAAATTATTGTGTAACAAAGACTATTGATAAGGTGTGGTTATCAGTGTCATTAAATTTAAAAAAGGGACCCAGAAAAAGTATATATATATGATATACATAATAACACATAATTTTCAGTAGAAATTTCTTCTAGAAATTCTAGCATTGAACTACTAAGAATAGACAGTCATTTATTTTATTCAATTTAAGAATGGTGCAGCTTCTCAATCTGTCTCACTTTAATGGTTTTTTTAATTATTAATTTCTCACAAAATCACTTTTATATAAAAAATTATAGCAATATATAGGAAGGAAGATCAAAAGTATTTTTAGTAAGCTCTAAGGCAAAGCACACTATTAATTTCTAGTATCCACAAGCTGATTAAAGGAAGTATTTATATTGCACAGTGCTGCCCACTGTAAAGATTATATAAAATTTTGCACCAAAAGGATTTACTTCAAAAAGTGTGAGCAAGGAAACTCAAGTAGAAAAGTGAAAGTCTCTCTAGGTCTTTTATGCATTTTGTGGTTTGGGCAAAGAATCCCAAAATACCAAAATTTTGAAACTGGAACTTTTACTAATTTATTTAAACTTTTTCAAGAAAAAATATTAAACAATTAAAGTCTAATATTAAATAAGTTGGTTGAATAGGTTATATGAATAGGGTAAGTTGCTTATCCTATTTGATACAATAAGGGAAAATTTTACCTCAAATGGGTAGCTAGATCCTTCCGGATAGATTATATACAAACCACTTGGTGTTTTGGTAATAGAGCCAACAGTATCTTTAATATCAGTACAATCTAAACCTAGAAAAGTAAAATTAGTAATTTATGATATTTGAAAGTACACATTTAAGACAATCATTTTACTGTACAGAATTAACAGCACTCTCTGAAATTATTATAATTTTCATTAATGATGCAATGATTTTAACTCTTGGCAAATTAAGGAGAAAATACATGGAAGAACTGGGATTAAAGAATGAATGCTGCAATAAACATAATGTCACTGTTAGTTATTATTATTCAATACTGTGCAAAACTTTCATTTGGGACTATCACTTATTTAATATATTTTATAATTATACATTCTCTTGCCCAATAAATTATGCTCTTTCAGGAATTTAGGCTTATCTTGGGGGCATAATGTGTAAAGATAATCTATATGTATGAGGAGCAGAAAACCCAAAGGAATGAAGTAGATTAACTACTATAAACATATCTTTGACTACTCTATTCAAAACTTCAGAAACTCTGATGTGTTGGGGGCCATCATTATAAGCAGCAAAGGGAGAGAAGGGAAAAATCACTTTCTCCACCAGGAAGAAGTTATGCTTGAAGCTAGAGCCTGCTTTGTTGACAATAGAACTACAGCACCCTATAATCACCCTCCTCAAAGCATTCTACAGTTGCCAGAGAATTGTAAAGATGTTAATATGGATAGAGATACTACATCTTATTCTAAGATACTTTACTCTGTATTATCTTTTGTAAATGTAATAAAGTAAATTCAACTCTTTTAAGTGTCGATTACCCAGAAAAACAAACTCATGAAAGCCGACGATTCCAGAGCCAGGAGTCCAGTTAGAGTCCTAGTTCCACTCCTTCCTGATGGAGAACATTAGCTACGTTACTTAACCTCTTTTCTTCATGTGCAATCCCATAATAATATCTACTTTGTAGTGTTATTCTGATGATTTACATCATAAGGTTTTATGTAAAGGACTTAACAAAGTTCATAACATGCAGCGAATACTCAAAAGATGTCATCTACAAAAAATTAGCTATAAGATTGTTTGCCTTTCTTTTCATTTACAGGAGACATTGATTTGTTGCCTTTGTTGTGAATTACTGAGACATTCTCATAATAAATTTATGATACTAGATAGAAGTTTTCAATGAAAGACTGATCTGGTTGGAATATCTGCTTTGACATCACCATTCGAATAAGTGTGAGCAGACTATTTAGATTTTTCTGGGCTGCGTATTCCTCATCTGGCAATAATCACCATCACAGCAAACCCTCATATTGCCTTCCTATGTATCGGGCAGTCTTTTAGGGGGTTTTCATACACTTATTCACTTAACCCTCACAACAAACATATGAGGTAGTTATTGTCAGTTTACCGATGAGGAAACCAATAGATGAGGGATTTAAAGAAGGCAGCCTGACGTCAGACTCCACACTCTTGACCACCTTGTAACACTACCCACCTCAGGTGGTTATGGGGAATAAGTGATATACAATAAATAATAACAAAATAATGTGTGTGTGCCTATATTAATACCTGACACATAGAAGAGTCTCAGTAACTGTTTATTCCCTTCCCTTTGTAAGGAAAAAAGAGACATCATATACTACTAGGCCCTCAATAATATTTATCTGCTTGGAAGTTTTTGATATTAATTCATATTTGTAAGATTTGTGGGCATTTTTCTTAGAAACCCACAGCTCTAGGAATTACTATACTGTATTTTAGTAATTGTAAATTACTGTATTTTAGTCTAAAACGTGTTAAATTCCAGTTTATTTCTGTCTTCTTTCTCTTTCTTTTTAAATTTTAAGCCCCAATTTAAAACACTTTAAGCATGTCAAAAATACTTTTTATAGGTGGGAGGAACTCTGAAACTTTCTTCTAACTGAAGATTCGTTATTAATAAAATTTGAGGGGGAGCCCAGAATTCAAGTACATAAAACTATGCTATTATGAACAGATTCAGAATGTCTGTTTACAGCCATGGTTTTCAAACAGTGACAAACATTTCTCAATTTAGGAAAGTACACGCAGTGCAGGTTGAAATTTGCTTCATGGCAAAAGCATTATTCCTCCAGTCTGTTACATAATAGTGAGCTGTATTTTTTAAAACAAAACCTCTAAATGCCCCAACCTGTCCAGGAAATTTTAAAGCAATAACAGACAAGAATAAAAGGCTGAAATACTGGAGCTCTCACCATGTGACTGAACTGGTCTGTGAGGAAAAGGATCCAGCTGTTTTCTAAAAACTTCAGCAGTCAAAAGGAGGACTCGATTCATGAGCTCATTAACCTAAATACACATGCACACATTTAAGCAAATTTATATTTCAACAAACCTCCATTAGCTGAATTCTTTGTAACTAATACGTCTAAGCCGCTTAGAAATACAACTCTGAAACATATATAATGGCCATTTTTCTCCATTGAATCCTTTACTATTTTAACAAAGCAGTAAAAGCATAGCTAAATAGCAACCTCTAAATTCAGTACTGTTTACTTCCTGCTCTAGCTTTTATCTTCCCATTTCTATACTTGACTGCTCTCGCAAATCTATTCTTTATATCTTGCTTGAACCATTGTTGTAGTTTCCTATCTGAAGTGCTGGCCCCCTTCCTCTGCTCTTCCTCAAGTCATCCTTCACACCAGCTACCAATCTGATCATTTCATTTCCCTGCTCAGACCTTTGGGTAACTCATTGGTGTAGCATGATTTAATTTCTTTTTCTTTTCTTTTTTTAAGTATATTTTATTGATTATGCTATTACAGTTTTCCCAGATAAGGTAAAGTTAAAGGAGTTCATCATTACCAAGCCCTTATTATATGAAATGTTAAAGGAACTTATCTAAGAAATAGAAGATCATAAACTATGAACAGTAAAATGACAATAATTCCTATTTCTTTAAGTCAGTTTTCCTTCTACATCCTTAATTGAACAGCCACTGCATCCCTGCAGTGACTTGAGTATTTCCACAGAATGCAACATCCTACCCTTCTTACTCAACCTTTGGGACCTGTGAAACATTTATTCACCTTTCATGACTCAGCTCAGGAGCTCTACCATCTGGGAAGTTTTCTTGCATCTTGGATATCTCTTTTATGTCTTCTAACAGCATTTGCAACGTTTTTTGATATATTATTCTGCTCTTCTAGACTGTATAACCCTTAAGTAAAGGTCCATTTCTTTATTAATTTCTGTTTGCTCGAGGCTTACTATGATGCCTCCAACATAATAGGACACTAAATAGATGTTTGGACACAAATGCATTAAACAATTAAATAATTATACCTCTAGCTAACTACCATATTTTGCTGTATATAATGCACACTTTTTGCCCAAATTTTTTAGGGAAAATAAGGATGTGCATTATACATGGGTGTAAAGATTACATACCATGGGTATAACAATGGGTATGGTAATCTCATGTATAATGTGTACAGAAATGTGGTGTACTGTTGTGCAAACACAATAATTACACAATACCCAAAATCCATACCTGATTAGATAAGTAATCCAAGGAAGCTTGCTGCTCATCCATTATATTTCTTAGTAGTTTTTTGGTACTTCGTGTATAAGAAATGATAGAATTTTGCAAATTTCCTTAAATCATAATAAAAATGTTTGCTAAATATGAAGTTGTTATAGAAACCAATTACAGTGAAAATAATAAATTTCACAAAATTTTGGGTAAATATGTTAACAGTAATTCCTTTAAATACTCAAAATTACATATTCTACCTAGTATATTTTAATAAATCAGTATTAACCAAGAACACAACTGTTTTTACACTTCTTAATGAAACTGTTTCTTAATAATTTACATTACACCCAAATAATTTAAGCTTATATAACTGAAAGACAAAATTTTGAATATCAATCATCACTTTATAAGATGAGAAGTATAGAAGCAGGAGGTCCAAGACTCACTGATTCTTATTACATAAGAAAGTGAAAGGCCCTGGCTGGTGTAGCTCAGTGGATTGAACACCAGCCTTCAAACTAAAGGGTGACCGGTTTGATTCCCAATCAGGGCACATGCCTGGGTTGCAGGCCAGGTCCCCAGTAGGGGGCACATGAGAAGCAACCACACATTGATGTTTTTCTCCCTCTCTTTCTCCTTCCCTTCCCCTCTCTCTAAAAATTAATAAATAAATACCTTTTTTAACACAGGCTTCTTATTCATGAATTATAGCATTTCCTTCGGCTGATGGTGAAAAACATGAGTTTGTGCCTATGTGGATCATTCTAAATTCACATTTTGGGAATGAGGCATAAAAACGATCCTCAAACAAAACACAAGTGCCTGGCTTCACCTGCAAGTTTTGAGCACCATTGGCTGATGCCCCATGCCCAGTAGGCTTCAAGAGAACAAGACCAATAATTGTTGCTTGAGTGAGTGAGGAATTTCAGATCTGGCCACTCTCTAAGTGATACCCGGAGATTTTACTTTAGAAGCCTAGTCCCCCAAAAGGGCCAGGGTATGGATAAGTGCTAGGGCTCTACAAGTTCTTCTTACCTGTTTGGGGCTCTCTTATGAATCATCTCCATGACTCTAAGAATTAGGCTTAAGAACTTCCTAACCGAGAATCAGTGCCCTGTGGCCTGGCAGAGATTGGCAATGTTGGCATGACCAGTGTGACCATTATACAACCTCCCTTGAAGATTCTGGTACGGCACCGCCCTGGAGAAATGGAGACTATTACAACCAGGAGTGACTGTGGTGTGTTGGCCCAGCTGCCAGGAAAAGGTTCTCAGACCAGCACAGCTACCAAATCCCTGGGCTCTGGCTGCCTGAAACTTTTGGTTGAATTAAAAAAATAAGTGATCAAACAAGGGCACACACATACATTAACTTGTACTGAATACAGCTGCCAGAAATCATGTCAGTAGATGTAATGGACATGGGTTGGACATGGGGGAAAGGGACATAAATGAACATCTATGAGGGACCCATGGACAGAGCCAAGGGGGGTGGGATTGAGGGTGGGAGGTGGGCATGGGTGGGGTGGAGGAAAGTGGTGGTGGGAAAAGGGAGACAACTGTATTCGAACATCAATAAAAAAAGTTAAAAAAAATACCCAAGCAATTATTCATACTCACAATCATTTTATTCATCAAATGGGTCTGGTGCAATTTTAGCTGATTTAAAATAGTTCAGAATTGTATAATTAAAAATCTTTTAAAAAAGAAAAAGGCAATAATCCCATATGATGTTATTTAATTTTAAAATTAACCTTTGTTTTAATTTTTATATTATGCTATATTTTTATATAAACAAATTATAAACACACATACATGTGCACACATCATAAATAGTCAAATGTTTGGGTTGGTTTGTTTCTGATTGAATTTTCACTATGTATTTTCCTTTTAAAAATGTTTTTATTTTAAAGCAACCTTACTGATAGAATAGTGGCAAAAAGAGTACAAAGAATTTTTCCTAAATTATTTGAGAGCTTGCTGCCATGATGTCCTTGGGTGTTTCAGTGTGTATTTCTTATGCCAAGACATTCTCTACAATACACCCATCAAAATCAGGAAATAAACACTGACTACCATATATTTATGAAACCTGATGATGTCCTTTATCACAAAAGGAACCACACATTACTACGTACACTATTCTTTTAAAAATTGTTTATTTCTATGTTCCTTTCACTCAAGCAGTAGAATCACATTAATAATTCTTGATTATTTTAAAATCTACTTCACCCAGTCATCACTCCTTTTTACTTTGTCTCTTAGTTTCTACTAGATTCTTCATAATTTTAAACATCTTTTTTAGAAAGAACATTTTTATTTTGTTGTTTTTATTGAATGTATTGTAGTGACATTGGCTAATAAAACTACATATAGGTTTCAGGTGTACAATTCTACAACATCTGGGTATTATACTTTGTGTTCACTACCCCAAGTCAAGATTCCCTCCATCACAGTTATCAACCCTTTACCTGCTTCTAGCTTCCCTCACCTGTTTCCCCCTGGTAATCACCATGCTGTTGTCCGTAAGGGTTCCTTTGTTGTGTTGTGTTGTGTTGTGTTGTGTTTTTGCTTAATTCCTTCGCCTTTTCCACCCAGCCCCACAACTCCTCTTCTGACAGCAGTCAGTCCATTCTTTGAGTCTGTTACTATTTAGTTTATTAGTTTATTCTGTTCATAATAGACCTAAAGCTCCACCCCCTGGTTTGGGAAGCCTGAGACACTTGTGTTATACATAGAATTAAGCACATTAAAGCATATTTTTTGCACTTTGTGACCTATAGCCCTGTAAGAACTGGATCAAATTACCACCTCTCCCACTTCTGATCCCCCTTTTCCCTCCCACCCCTATGCAGATGGATAGACCATAAAAATTACTGCATTGTTACTAAATAGTTTTAAACAAGAATTCAGATTTTTAACTTTCTGTTTTTTATGTTTTGTTACATAAACTGTTGTGAATTTGTATTATACCTTGTACCATTTATTCAGTATTAATGAATCCTCCCCCACAAAACTAAGGTGGAATTTCCTATTGTCTCAAATGGAAGTAAGGAAATAGCTCTAGGCAAATTGATACAATACTAATATCAGTGCCCTCTGGCTTGCACTTTTTTCCTGTGGTCTCTTGATGTCACTGGGCTACATAGAAGGATTTGTTCATTTATCAAATATTTACTAAGCCCATACTACGTGTCAAACACATAAAGCCACTGGCCTAGCATGATCAGGATATATATAAAATGACCCAAACAAAATTTAAGGCATAGTTTTTCTATGTCTACTCCATAAACAATAAAATCATATACCTTTATAATTGTGGTTATTTGTAATACTTACTACACATGAAATGTTTTTCTTCTCGTGTAACTTTAGTTTTGATATCACACGATTCCTCGCAATCTTCCTTATAAACAGTATCATTACTTTTACTTTCATCTTTTGTGTGAGATCCATCTTCTACAATATTAACTGCTGTAGAATCCTTTACATTAAGAAATAGAAATAAGAAAAATATATGAAGTATGTTATATGGCCTAACACAAAATGAATAAAAAGACTAAATGGAAAAGATGACATTTCGTGACATAACAGGGATGATCATTCAGGAAAAAACAAAACAAAACAATGAACTGGTTAGTTCAAACTTGCACAAGTAAACCCTGTGGAAAGATTTCGGGTATGAATAATAATTATATGTTAATTCAGTATTTTTGTTTTCCCCTTTTCTTCTTAAATTCCAAAAGGTCTTACAGTCATCCCCTGATATACACAGAGACTGATCACAGGACCCCTGCAGATATCCAAATCCACAGATGCTCAGGTACCTTATGTAAAATGGCAGAGCATTCACATATAACCTGCACAAGTCTTCCTGTGTACTTTAAATCATATCTAGATTACTTGTAATACCTAACACAATGCAAATGCTGTATAAATAGTTGTTATACTATATTGTTTGGAGAACAGTGACCAAGAAAAGGTCTGTATCTGTTCAGTACAGATGCAACCATCATAGGCCTTCCTACATGGTAGACATCAGCAACAGCATAACTTTTTTTTCCAAATTTTTCTATCCACAGAAAAATTAGTTAGTTGAGTCCACGCAGAACCCACAGATGCAGAGGGCCAACTGCATTTAGGCTCTGCTTTCTATAACTGTGGCTCTGTGTAGCTTTAATTCTTGTGCATTTGTGTATGTGATACAGTGCTAAGCCATCTGTCTTCTGGAAATCTTGCAATTTGAAGTTCCTTGAACACAGACTAAGAAAATTCCCTGAAATACCTACAACATTGCCATGCCAAACAGACTTCCTGACGCTAATTATTAAGAATCATGTTCGGGGGTGGTTGAAGATAGATAAATGTAGTATAAGTGCCACTTTTGTATAAGCTACAGAATTTAGAGATTTAAAAGTAAAGTACTCATGAGTTTGAAAGGTATCAGTGGTAACAGAAAAGAAAGCGTGGAATTTTGCTTTGCAAAATCAACAACAGATGGCATTTTACAAAGCCAGCTACAGCTGTCATTCCAACAGTATCTATTCTTGGTACTTTGATTCCGTCAATGTTAAAATATTCTTTGATAGAAATCATATTGATTTAAATAACTCATTTTTAAAAAAATAATAACAAGCTTTGTCCTCCTTTGACCTGGATATTGAGAGAAAAGTAAAGAACTAATCAGTTATAAAAGACATCTGCCCCAAAAAGATAAACATATTTTGTCAGATAGATCTATTTGTAACCCTTGCTCTTTCTCTTCTACTGCTATAATAACTGACATCCTAGATGTTTTCAAAAACCTAGGTTACAAATATATTTTGTCAGATTGAAATAAGATTCTTAAATATTTAGAGGGTTATTTTCTTTAGCTTTCCTAAAATTTATTCTTCCTTAAATTTTGAAATTCAGAATTTTGTATCCATACAGTGGTAAATATTTAAACATGTAGCATACAAATCCCCATATACTCATGGTATTGTATATAATATATTAGCTATTACTCTGACATTGCCATGAATAAAAGTTTCTAATGTCCTAGGTAATCACTCACAAGACTATATTTGAAATATGAAAGTTATAGAATAGTTTAAGTGAAGTGAATTTTTTAATTACCCTCCAGATAGTTCATCATCAGAATTAATCAGAAAGCTGCTAGCTAGTTTTTAACCTAGGCCTGCAATTTCTTTAAAATATTTTCATAAGAAATGTATCAAGTCAATCCTCAGTTGATGGTTTTCTAAATTTTAAAATAACATCACTTAAGCAAAGTTTCAGCAGTTCTAAATAAACTAATTTTTTCATAAATTATATTGGGTAGTATAATTAATCTTTTCAAACATCTACTATAAATCTTTAAAACCATATAATCATGCTCTCCTAGCTAAAATAATATTGCTAAAATTCTTACCGTAGATTGATGTACACAGTTAGCTTGTATAGTTTTTCCACAAATAAAAATACATATATTTATGAACAAGAGTGAGACTTGAGAAAGATATATCATATTTTTCTTGAAGAAATAAAAACTTCTTCAAATATCAGTCAGCTGTCTGTGGAAAGAAATACAGTGCACAGAGTCTTAAGTCAAAAACTTCTGGAAGGTGTACAACAAAAACAGAAGCCAATACTTACTGGTTTCCAGGCCCTCATTTGAAACTACTCCCTTCATATGAAAAACAAGGTAGCCTCTAGAGGTCCTGTCATTTGAAGTTATACAACCCCCCTTTTTTATAAAAAAAATGCATTCATTATAAATCATGCTTTTGAAATATGGGCAATAAATAATTAGATAGATCATGAATTTATAAATCCATCTAGTTTTTATGTCAGTTTTTTTGCATTAGAAAAATACCTTTGATAAGAAGTATCTCAATAATTATGAACTGGTTTGAATAAAAATGATAAGAAAGTAGACATGAGTGATGGAGTGGAAACAGTATTACATTGGAACTATTTCTAAAAATACCAAGTAGAAATTAAATCAATGTGGACATCCACATCAGATAATTCAGAGTTAAAATATGATTCAAACTGAAATTAGCTATCAATGATGGTCATATTGCTACAGAACAGACACACCAGGGCCCGGACTCCAGAGGACGGTATACTAATACCATCTGAACCACCTACTGGGCTCAACTGTCTGCTGCCAATTGGAAAGACATCTCTCAATGCCGGAGATTTGTGAAAAGGAAAGGAAATGTTTATTTAATGGTATACAGACTTAAAGTATAGCTTAAAGTAAACTAATGTCTTCATTAAAATATCAAAGTCCTTTAGGATATCCACCTAGGCACACAGCTCCCTTCTCCCCCTGCCCTAATTCAGGGTACCGTAACTCAGGAAAAAGAGCACATGTCTGTGTTTCCAGGGCACTGGCACCATCAGCTGTGTCACCATCCAGGCAGGACCTCCAATTAATCCAAAGTCATGTGGCACCATCTCACGGTCAACTGGCAAGAGTTCTTTGTGCCCATTTTTCCAGGCAAAGTCTCTCCTGCTTCCCAGGCCATGTGGCCAAAGTGAGCACCCCAAAGCCGCGTGGGCCTCTTCTACCAAAGTTGCAGGGGTCCTCACTGTGCCAAAACCATGTGGCTCCCCCTCAATGGCTGCCATGTCTGGGTTTAAATCCCCACGCCAATCTTCCTCTGTACCCCCATTTCCAACTCCTCCCACAATCAGTTACACCTGCCAGCATTCCTGTATTATTTCAAGTTTACTGGGCTGCTATCATGAGTCTGGACAGGTAGGGCTTCATGTCCTGGAGCGAACCTTCTCCAAGCTCCCACACAGGCACAATAACTTTGGGGACCTGCCCCCACTTAAATCATGGGGGGAAGTGACTTCCATCCCCCTGGCTCCAAGCCTGGCCACAGCCATTTAACATATCCAAGTGACCCGCCAAAGGCTATAGAAATGTTAAATGGCCATGCCATGGATTAGCTGCAAGGCTGTGGCTGTACAAAACAGCTCTGCATGTTCCTGCTCCATGTGTCCCTTCCCCCATCTCACACCTGTAGGGGAAGGGGTGAGGACATTTTATATGTCTCTCCAACATTTCCTGGACACCTTGAGCTCTGGACCCCATTCCAAATCCCTTTTTGGGGTCCCCTTCTTGGCTGCACCCTGTATCAATATTAACCTAATAAATGCCAAATTTCTAGTACCCTGATTTGTATGTTTTTCATCGATATTGTTAAAAGTTAAACATTTTTTTTATTTTTAAATATTTATTTATTTATTTTTAGAGAGAGGGGAAGGGAAGGAGAAAGAGTGGGTGAGAAATATCGATGTGTGGTTGCCTCTCATGTGCCCCCTGCTGGGGACCTGGCCTGCAACCCAGGCATGTGCCCTGACTGGGAATCAAACTGGCAACCCTTTGCTTCACAGGCCCATGCTCTCTCCACTGAGCTACACCAGCCAGAGCAAAAGTTAAACATTTTTAAACATAAGGGAACTATTGTTATTGAAAATTACCACTCTGAAAGTTGATAAATCAATGTCTATGACAGGTCTTTTTTTAATATTTTATTTACTTATTATTTTTAGAGAGAGGGGAAGGAAAGGAGAAAGAGTGGGAGAGAAACATCAGTGTGTGGTTGCTTCTCATGCGTTCCTTACTGGGGACCTGGTCTGCAACCCAGGCATGTGCCCTGACTGGGAATCGAACCGGTGACTCTTTGCTTCACAGGCCCATGCTCAATCCACTGAGCTACACCAGCCAGGTGTGACAGGTCTTCATTGTCCCATATAATGGCTCCATTTCTTCATCACATAAACATGCCTAAAACTTCACTATCTTAAGATTAAGAGACAAAGCAAAACTTTCCTGAATCTTGCTTCCTGTTCTAGGTATTATTTTCTCCATTTCCTTTCCTAGCCTGAGAACAACAGGGCAGACACAATAGTTTTTGTTTCCAGCATAGTGATTGGTATACAATAGGCCCTCAAATATAAGTTAGTGAATACCCTAAATATTCTCTGACTTTATTTCTTCAGTATCTGTTACTTAAACACAAATAATTCTTATCTCTTAACCTCGTGAAACTTCCTCAGTTTCTCCAGTGAGGCAGTGTGGGGTGGTCTGGAGTGCTGGCTCTGGGGCCAGTCTGCCTGGGCTGGAATCTGGATTCCTCCGCTCCCTTGCTCTGGAAACCTGGGCAAAATGACCTAATATCACTGTAGCTTAATTACTTCCTTTACTGAATGGGGACGATTATGTCCCCAACTGTAGATTCAATGATTTAATATATATAAACACTTAGTATAGTACATGAAAAACAAAAAGCGCTAAAATGTTAGGTGGTGGTATTATTATTTATTTTACTAGTCTATAATACAATTCTAACATTGCTGAAAACATTGAGTAGATGAGTATTTGCTTTTAATCTTAAATTTCTAGTTTAAGTCTTATGAAATTGAAATAAAGATGGCAGAACTTCAGCAATTTTTAACCAGCCAGATGTTAAAATTCTTTGTTCTTTCACAGCTTGCCAAGAGACAAAACCAGAAAATTCTTACTTAAGCAAAAAAAAAAAAAAAACCTTCAGCAGAAGATGGAAAAAATAGCCTCAGCCAAGATGAAAGTGAAACCTCAATAAATTGGTCATCACAGGATGACTTACCATATAACTCACAAGGTTATAGCAGTATTCAAATTAGATTAAGTTGTGGAACTACGCATTGTAACCATAAAGTGGTTACTAGTTCTTTCTTTTATAAATAGAACATATTTAACAATTTCTGAGAGCATGTTAATAAAGTTGAATATATAATAGCCATCTCACATCTTGCATTTGAAGCCTAAATCTTATTCCTTCCCCTTATTCCTCAGCCTACCCCTTCCTATCTCAGTAAAAGGCAATACCTTTTATCCACTTGTTTCAGTTCCAAATCTGAGTCACATTTCACTCTTTTTATTTCCCACTCACTAACCACAACCATTCATTATTGCATCTTATTGGCTCCAGGTTAAAATTTTGAACATTTTTTGCTACTCGCATTACTACCATTGTAGTCCAAGTTTCCATAATTTCTCATCTAGCCAACTATAATAACATCCAAACTAGCCTCATTGTGTCTAGTCTTATAAACTATAATCTACATTTCCTCACAGCTACTAGAGTGATCCTTTTTAAAAGTTAAATTAGATCATATTACTCTCCTACTCAAAATTCTCCAATAACATTCCCACCATTGGAAGTTGATTTTATATTAATTTCTTGCATACTCTATAAGCCCCATTGAATCTGAAATACATCTCCCATGAACTTCTCCAATCTCCTACACTAGCACACTGTGCCTACCACATTCTGTTTTTGATACAGTGGTCTTATTTCTGTTCCTTAAACACTTCAAATAAAACACTGGCCTCAAAGCCTTTTGCATTTACAGCCCACTTTGCCTATAATACTCTTCATTCAGATATCTGAATGACAACCTCCTTTCTTTATTCTGTCCTGATTTCCCTTTCTCAGAGGACTTCGCTGAGCACTCTACCTCAAACAGAACTGACATCAGTCTCTATTTCCTTACAGTATTCCATTTTTCCTCGTAACACTTTTCACTACATGATATATCCTGGTGGGGAAGAAAATATAAATACAAGCTTCATGAGCATAGGGACTTGAAAGTTTTGTTCACCACTGTATCCCTACCACTGAGTAAATGCTTAGCACATGCTTAATGTATATTTACTTAATAAAAAATGAATTATTTTATGGTTTTGGAGTGTGAAGAATTAAGCATCATACTTAACTGCAATGTCTCTTCTGAGAAACCAAAGATTCTAGTATATTTTTATTGCTTTATTCATATTTGCCTTTCCTATGGAGGTAAATTTATAAATATTCAAATTATCTTTTTATTATACAAATATCTAAACTTAAAGCTTTTAGAATTGAGGACTATATAACATTAATTAAATCTTGAACACCTGCTTAATATTTTAATAAAGAAATAATTTAAAGGCCAAAAATTAGCTCCTATGATTTATTTTAAAAAAAACATTAGCAACATTGTGCTTAAAATTTTTGTTCTTGGTTATTGTAAAGCAACATATGAATGAAGAATATTTATATGAGCAAATATCTGTAAACAATTAAATCATGCCTCTTCATGCTAATATAGCATGCAACAAAGCAGTGAGGTGCCTAAGACTTATGAGACCTAAACTAATAATATAGCAAAAGCTAGATTTTCAGGAAGGCTAAACATGCATGTCTAAATTTTCCAAACAACCACAACCTTCTTCCCTTGTATTTTTACCTTGCACTGCCCTACTCTCTCTCTCTCTCTCTCTCATTGCTCTATTTGGCCCTAGAGAAACAGATTTATGATAATAGCAATGGGAATAGAATCAAGGTCAATGCCTGTGGTCATGCCAGTTAAAAAGTTGTCAACATGTTAATAATCCAAGTGTACACATCTAGCCTTTCTTTGCCAAAATTATATATTATATCCTCTTGGCATTGACCTGAAGGGGGTTTAAGTGTTTTGTGTTCT